AAAAAAAAAAAAAAAAAGTTTTTTTCTCAAAAGAGCTTGGATTCCAATTCTAGGATGAAGAATAGAAGACGACAGGAGGAGGGAAAAGTTTGGAGATTAGGGATGGGGGTATGGTGCATTGCCTGTGATTCCAGCGGTAGGGACAGTAGCAGAAACATGAGGATAAAGTAAGAGGTGTGGTTGGGAATGTCTCAGTTCTATCTCTCTTCTCTCCCTCAGGGAAAGGATAGGGTCTAGTCTTAAAGAACAGCCGGTATGAGGGATAAGACAGAGCAACAAAAGATTATGAATTGAAAGCGGGAAATGCCAGCTAGTGCAAGCTAGAAAAGAAGGAATATTCCTCTTCTGTGCCCCTCTCCCCTGCCGTGTATGTAATCTATATGTATAGAGATACTCATTTTGCTGGGGAGAATTTTCTCCTTTAGTAGCCATATTTTTTGTCAATCACTATGAAAAATTTTCTTGGCTGTAACATTCAGCATGCTAAAAATAGTGCATTATATGAAACAAGTAACTTAAATAATAACAAATTCATACTTTATTTTTCTAAAAGTGTATAATCACAGTCCTATAATAAAATAAAATCATCTTGTAATATTTTTTTTAATGTCTTGGAGTTTTTTCAAAATAATAGAGAAATGGGGAAGTAGATGGGGTTGAGGTTGAGGTTGAGGCAAGAATAGCCATGGATTTGTCATTGTTGGGGCCAGGTGTGGGTACATGGTGGTTCGTCATATTATTTGATTACTTCAAATATACAAATTTGTGTATTTGAAATTAATTAAAAGTTGAAGAAACCACTCTGTGATTATTTGTGGTAGTGCAGATGATATTACATCATATTTGAAAAAAAATGTTTTATTGAGTCTTCATTTCTATAACCACTGTGAAATTTGAAATATGAAATGAGCTACTGTAATCACTGTGTAAGAAGACAAAATTGGTCTTGTTTTGATTTGTATAATAATACAAATGTTGATATAATGTTTTGATGTACTTGATTTTGGTTTATTCTGGTTTTTGACATTAATATGAGAAAGTATATGCTCATAGATTTTGTAGGAATCTAGTGCTGGAAAGAATAATCTATAAATTCCATCTTAAAAAACACAGAGGATTAAATGAAATATTCTCTTAAAATTTAAAGCAAGTAGCAAAATCAACTTATGAATTAATAAAACCATTTTTTTCTTTTATAAACACATTTGATTAATTTAAATTACAATTTTTCATGTAAGTGTGCTTTTTCTCTTTTAATTCTACATTAGTTTATGGAAAGGTGAAATGCCTATTTTATATATGTAGAAAGTGGTATATCATGCTGAATATTTTTCAAATTTAAAAAGAAAGGGTTTAAATCCAGTTTAATGGCTATAACTATAACATTGAACATTTTGGAATTCTAAGTTGTTAACTTAGAATAACTTAGAATAACTTAGAATAACTTGTATAACATCTTGTTAAGATGGAATACCTGTTTAGAAATTATATATCACCTAGAAACATTGTATCTGATGCTCTTCATATTCTCATTTAAATCATGATGATATTTTATTTGCATTTTAGGCGATCCTAAGAAAAAGCTCATATGTTCAGTGTGCAATAAAAAGTGTTCTTCAGCATCAAGCCTACAGGAACATAGAAAGGTCAGTAAGATGAAGATTAATGCTCATCAGAGTGTAAGACCTTTTAGTCATTTATAGAGCCTGCCATGAAAATTTTTAATTGATTTTTTTATAAAGGCAGAGCTTTGTCATCAATTTATACACTAGCGTATTCTAAAATGCAAGACTGATATGCAGAAAAGTGAGCTCTTGTAAAAGTATATTTTGAGTTTCAAGCTTTTTTATTTGCCTTTTGCTCAGGAAATACTATGTATTTGATGGAAACATATAAGTTTTGTGGATTTATAATATGCCCTGCAATGGCATTTAGCTATTAAAATGCATGCATCTTATAGTAAAGTCCGACAAAACAAAGACAAGAGCTCCTTATTTTGAAGAACTAAAAATAATGTGCAAGTATGTCAAAGTGTTGTTAGCAGAAACAAATGATTATATTAGAAGAAAATAAATTTAATGTATTTTGTAATAAACATAAAACTTATTACTAACTTACAAATTTAATGTGAAAGGTTAACCTGAAAAATATACCGGGGTTATTAACCTTAACAACATTAGCACTATTTAATAGAATTTACAATAGAATAGAGCTAAAATAAAATTTAGATTTTTGTTCTTATTGTGACAAATGCTAGAAGAACTCTTATATTATCAGATAAATGATTATTTTTTAATTTCACATCACTTTTCAGAATATCTAGGAGCGTATAATATTTTCTTTTAGTGATTTAATATTGAAGAGAGTATATAATACTAGTGAATATAAAATTTTACTTTTCTTATGGTTTACAAAATGAATTTATCTCTTTATTGTATATAGATATATTCCAAAGTAACCTGAATGGCTTTAAAATTCATGATATTCAATCTGATAGTTCTAACTATGTGCTGTGGGTTTAATCTATAAACACACAAGATAGTTAGATTTAAAAGATGTCCAAGATTGTATTTTATATGTTGGGTGATTTTGATCCTCAGGGAGAAATAATGGAACAAGCGGTGGACTGAGAGTGAGGACAGTGGGTGTCATCTTCTGTCCCTAACACTCCATGTAACATTGGGCCTCTGTTCTCTCTTTTATTAAATGTGACTTGGAATGGGTCCATGCTTTTTAATTTTTTCTCCAAGTGCCATGAGCTGTTTTGTTTGTTTGTTTCTAAATGGTTTTCTAATAGGATTGTTTAAACATGTAGAACACATCAAGAATTTGCATATAATTCTTGTGCACCGGCCATGCTAATCTTCACTGTAACATTCTAATTTTAGTATTTGCACTGCTCACTTCATCCCTATGGCTTCCGAAGCAGAATCTTAGTCTGAGGCAAAAAGATGAAATCCAATTTAGTAGATATTTTCTAAATATCTTCTTACTTGTATAATTCTATGATTTCTTTCCCTTGTCTATTTACATCTTAAGAAGTTGAAATTTAAGATAGTTTACCAGATTAAAGATTGTACTAAACAGAGTGTTTCAACAAAGTTGCTTGTGGGGCCTATTTCTGAAAGTGTTCTCTTTTCCATTTATTTTCTTCATAATATAAGAACTTTTTCCCCAAGGAATGTCTTGGTAGAGCCAAATACTACTTGGTGATGGTAGAACACAGCACCCAAATTATCTCTGCAAAATGTTAATAACTTATTAGCTGAATGCAGCACTTCCTTCATTACAGCATGGCTCATCTAATTTAGCCTTTCTGAATCCATAGACAGCTTTTGACTTCCGTTTCTGACTCTGTTCTTAATAGTTGGGTATGTTGAATGTCTAATAGAGTTTGGTTGCAGTATTTAACCTTGCCAGTAGAGGGTGCTGTATGAATATGCCAAATTACATAATAGTCTGGAATAGTATCTTACACTACTATATACTATTTTATGTTACAATAAGACATATTATAACCCTTCTTGAAAATTGTTTATTTAGGGACTTCAAAATTGTAATTTAATATGCTCCATATCAACTAGTAAGCTGAACATTTTGAAAATTGTGCTTTATTTATCATTAGGTGTAAATAAATAGTATTACCAAATTTGGTTGTTTTATTAAGCTTTTTTAGGATTTTTGAAGATAGCTGTGGCCTGAATTTTCCACTATAAATAATATAGTCAATGCAAAAGTGCTTTCATATACAGTGAATATTCTGTTTTATAATTATGGAAAATTAATTCAACTGAACCTTTAAAAAGTGTTTCATGTTTCAGGAGCCGTGAGAGTTAAGAAGTGAAAAAACATGGGTACTATTCTGCAGTATTTTATTTAACATTTAACACTTTATATATGGATAAATAATTTAAAAAAAATTTATGTATTAATATAAGTTTTATATTAAAATGAAAATACACTAAATATATTTTCATTGATGTATGGCTCAGAAAGCACATAATCTTTTTTAGGAGATATTGTTATTATAAAAGACATATATTACAGAAACATAGAGTTTAGGAATATAAATCTGTTCTTACTGTCTTTAAATAAACAATACACATAATATTGCTCCTTAAGCATAGGTGTTGAACCAAAACCATGTGAAGGTCTTTGATGATTGAACAGACTGTCTTTAAAATGGCTGAGGCTGAAAGTTTTACTTCTAACTGTGTAGTACTTGCTTTGTGAGTACTTGTGTGGGTCCCACATTTTTTGCCTGAGGAATCCTAGAATGCTTTGGACTCCATATATTCACTAATTGAGAATAGATGACCCTGCATATAAGCAGAGGTGTAAGTCAGACTCTAGTGGAATAACATCATTCTGCTTCTGCCTTGTTTATCTACATTTCCTGTGCTTTTCCCAACTGAGTTTTCTGACTCACCAAGAATCAGATCTGACAAAGGCAGAAGGTGGATTGGCAGCCTCAGACCTGCCATGAGGTTGGGCATCGAATGAAGTCCCAGACTCAGACGTGGGACCTGGTAATTTTCCCTAGCTTTTGTTTCCCTGCCTTGTCCCCTCTTTTCAGTCTCTCTGTTTTGAGTTCTTCCATGGCCACTTAGATCAAGGGAGCCAATTACCAGGATACAACCCAGTCTTCTACTCATGACTCACTCAGTTCTTGGCCCTCTGCCTTGACTTCACTCTGCAGTAGCCCTCGTTATTCTGCAGGGGTAATCACAGCACCTTGTCTTTCTGCACAAGGGCCTTTGCTTCTCTGGTGTTTACTATTGTGGGCTTTACCTTTAGTGAGGTTAAAGCAAATATAACTTCACCAGAACTATTTTAGAATCTTCAGCAAAACAGTGTGATGCTCTTGTTCATTGGGGGTGATCAACATTTCTAATATGAGGCTTCTTGCAATACATTCCTCTTAGAACTTTGTGCATTGTTTCTGATAATAAACTGGGCTTCTACTTATCATACCACCTATACAATTTCTCTGTTTAGTGTCTCAGAGGGAAAGAGCTAAAGTTAATATTCAGTTGTAATACTTATTAGCCAGCTGTTTGATAAAGTCATGTTCCCTACTTATTATAGTTTTTGATCTTTTCTTTTTATTGTGGTCTTCCTATCATGTAAGAATTTTACTTTGAGCTAAATGTTTTTCGGAATCATATATCTTCTTGTCTTTCATGATAATTCATGTTTTTTTCTGTACTATATACATTTAAATTTAAAATAGTTTCACTACTGTAAAGGGAATATTATCACATACAGGTTCTATATTTCCAAATCTAAATTTGTGCATAACAAAAAGAGTTCGTGTCAGTTAGGTATAACTTTTTACAGAGTGTAGAAATTTAATATGCACTAAATAGGTCAGCTATACCACATATTTCAAGTGTGCTGCAATCTTGTATTTTCTTTTAATTGTTTGTTTTTATTAGGTACCAGGTTCACTGCATTTTCAATTTATATAAGATAGTGTGAATAAAGCAGAGCTGAATTACAATATACATAGATATTGCAATAGCAGCTATCCACATATTTATACTTTACTTGAGCTCTATATAATTTATTTGGCTTTGACAGTTGACCTAACTGTCAACTTAACCTTTTGCAGATTCATGAGATATTTGATTGTCAAGAATGTATGAAGAAATTTATTTCAGCTAATCAGCTAAAACGTCATATGATCACTCACTCAGGTAAAATACATATTTGTTCATTTATATTGAAATCACTACAAAAGATTCACTTTGTCCTTTTCAGGATCTCCGAGAATAGTAATCAGGAGACCTGGCTTTTAGTTCTAGGTTGGCCAGTAACTAGCCGTGTGATTTTGAACAAGTTACTTAGCCTCTCTAGACCTCAGTTTATTTATAAAGCCAAGGTGATTGGACTAAGTGATATCGAAGCTCTTCAGAATCACCATTTAATTTATTGTCTACTCCTCCTGGAGCCTGAGATTCTGTTCTTTATCTGTGAAAAGGGCCCTACCTTTCAGAATTGCTGTGAAGGTTAAATGAGATCATTATGTACTGTGCTAGCAGGGGGTCTGACTTTTAGGAGGGATTCAACAATTATAGTTTCTGCTTTTCTAGATACTTTCACATTCTCACTAAGGTACTAATAAATGTTAATGAGAATTTTATAAATACATTTTGAGAATATAAGTTTTTAAAGCTGTAGTTTCATTTTAAGCAAGTTTGAGTAATAGGTCTGTTATACAGATTAAAAAGAGTAAGGTCTGAAAATAAATTTTGCTTTATGAAGTCTCCTTCTAGAGTTTGGAACGTCTATAATTTAAGGCCATTGAGGTTAGAATGTTTTTACATATCCATTTTGTTTGGTGATGGCTATATATATTTTGGCAAATGAAAATAGGAGATCAAAAACTGGTGGCCTTCAGATATGCTTTGTTTGAAACAAATAGTATTTTTTGCATCTAGTGGTCAACATTACGTTAACGTTGCATATATATGGGTTCTATACAACAACCTAGGTATGTAGAGAATTGAAGCTTTCTGTTGAGAATTGAAGCTTTGCCTATATGAGTTCCACTTGTTCAAGTAGGAGGCAGGTCTGTCATTTACTTTTATCACTGTCAGAACACTCTTAGCGTTTGAAGTTGTGACCTTGGTTTAAACTCATACTATCAGCACGTTTTTCATCTGGAAATAGGATTTTTTTTTCCTTGAATTTGAGCTTCATTCTTACATCTAAGCTACTTTACACATTTAGTTTACAAAAATAAGTCTCTGAAAGAACAAGTTCATATTTCTTTTGTGAATAGGGTCACATGTCTAACAGAAATGGATTGGTAAGTAGATTTTTTTCAGTTGTTTGAATCATGTTTCAGTTGACTAGTCCATTAGAAGTAATATAAGGTAAGGCTGTTTCCCTTTTTATCCTTTACCTTTATATAGATGTGAGATTGTCTCCACTCATTTTTCACAGAAAAGCGACCCTATAATTGTGAGATTTGTAATAAATCTTTCAAGAGGCTTGATCAAGTGGGCGCCCACAAAGTAATACACAGTGAAGATAAACCTTATAAATGCAAGCTTTGTGGAAAGGGATTTGCCCACAGAAATGTTTACAAGAATCACAAGAAGGTAAAAGCGTATAAATATCATTATTATTATTATTATTATTATTATTATAATATTCGCTGATTTGACTTCTAATTATTTTATAAGAGATTTGTGTATATCTGGACGTGCTTGTGCATGTGGAATAATTACAGAAGATCTTGCTTTTACTTTCTACCCCCTCACTCAGGCCACAACCCCTTGTGGCCTGGTTTCTGTCTTCCATCGTCTGTTGAAACTGTTCTCACACCCAGAGGGCCATCCACTGTTTCCCAGTGGTGTACTAACTGCAAAGTCTTTATTCTCTCCCTTTTTTTTCTGTAACGTTTGACACTCTTGTTCACGTTACCTGTTTTGAAATTCTGTTCATGTTTGGTGTATACTTTGCTAGGTGTTCTACCAATTTCTCTGAACACTTCCATCTCCCCTCCCTGAGGAGGTTGGCTGGATGCATTGGCTGTGGGCCTCTTCTGTGTTCTCTGCATCAGCTACATCCATGACTTCTGCTATCAACTCTATACCAACACATGCCAAATGACTTATTTATTTAACCCAGTCTTCAAAACTATATTAATTTTTTTATTTGAAACATAACTGGATATCTTTTTGACCTAATGAATTTAGCATGTCCCAGAATGACTTTTTCATTCTTTATGTCCCAGATAACCTCTCTTTTGGAGTTTCTTCTTTCTGTTAATGACAAAAGCATATGCTTACTCCTGTCTGTTTCTTTAGTCTTAGACCCTTTTTAAAACACTGATTCTTGGGGCACCTGGGTGGCCCAGTTGGTTAAGCATGAGACTTTGGCTCAGGTCATGATCTCGTGGTTTGTGGGTTCAAGCCCCATGTTGGGCTCTGTGCTGACAGCTCAGAGCCTGGAGCCTGCTTCGGATTCTGTGTCTCCCTCTCTCTCTGTCCCTTCCCTGCTCATTCTCCCTCTCTCTCTCTCTTTCTCTCTCTCTCAAAATAAATAAATAAAGCATTAAAAAAAACAAAAACAAAAACAAAAATGCTGATTCTTAAAGAATCTACCCTCTACCTTGTCTAGTCACCTTCAGTCATTTGTTCCTTTACCATCCCAACATCACAATTATTGCTCATTTTCATTGCTTTAATACCCATCTAATTAGATTCTTATTACTTATCACTTCCCACCTTTCCATCGTCCTAAATAAATTGTCTCATAATGCAACTCTGACATACCACTCTTGTACTCTAATATTATGAGTAGATTTCCGATGCCTGTGTAAGTTATAATGCACCTTGCCCTCTCCCATGACCTCAACTTTTCCAGATGTTTATTCTTTTCTCTGCATACCTAAGACAACTTGACATTTGTCTTCAGTCAGCATGACCTAACTTCCCCTTCCTCTTTTCTTTTTTTTTAATTTTTAATTTAATTTTGTTTTTATTTAAACTCTATACCCAACATGGTGTTTGAATTCATGACCTTGAGATCAAGAGTCACCTGCTCTACTGACTGAGGCAGCCAGGTGCCCCACCCTTCCTCTTTTCTGTTAGGACTTTCTTCAATTATAATCTCTTAGTTTTGTGTATTAATTTTTGTTTACATTTCCTACATACTACCTTTATTCTAGTTCTTGTTTCAGAATGTATTAGTTTTATCTTATCTACTTTGTGTAGATAATAAATAATGTTTCAATTGAATTCAGAAAATGGTATTGTTTGTTTTTTTGTTATTGGGTTGTATGTGTTCTTTATATATATTGGGTATTAACCTTTTATCAGATATATCATTTGCAAATATCTTCCCCCATTCACTAGGTTGTCTTTTCATTTTGTTGATAGTTTCCTTTGCTCTGCAGATGTTTTTTAGTTTGATGTAGTCCCATTTGTTTATTTTTGCTTTTGTTGTCCTTGTCTTTGGAGCCAGATCTACAAAGCATTGCTAAGACTCATGTCAGGGAGATTAATATGTTTTCTTTTAGGAGTTTTATGGTTTCAGGTCTTACATTCAAGTCTTTTAATACATTTTAAATTTATTTTTGTATATTGTGTAAGATAGTGGTCCAGGTTCATTCTTTTGCATGTGGCTGTTCACGTCTCTCATCACTATTCATTGAAGAGACTCTTCTTTCCCATTCTGTATTCTTGCCTCCTTTGTCATAAATTAATTGCATGAGTTTATTTCTGGGCTATCTATTCTGTTCCATTGATCTGTGTGTCTATATTTTTCTATCTGTAACATACTGTTTTGATTATATAGCTTTGTAGTATAGTTTTAAATTTGGGAATATGATGCCTCTTTGTTCTTCTTTATCCAGATTGCTTTGGCTATTTGAGATTTACTGTGATTCTGTACAAATTTTTCAATTATTTGTTCTACTTTTGTGAAAAATGCTATTGGAATTTTGATAGGGATTGCATTAAATCTATAGATTGCTTTGGGTAGTATGGACATTTTAACAGTATTAATTATTCTAATCCATGAACATGGAATATCTTTCTATTTATTTGTGTCTTCCATTTGTTTCATCAGTGTGTTATCATTTTCCGGGTACAGGTTTTCCACTTCTTTGGTTCAATTTAGTCCTAGACATTTCATTGTTTTTGATGCACTTATAAATAGGATTGTTTTCTTGATTTCTCTTTCTGATAGTTTCTTATTAGTGTGTGAAAATGCAATGGATTTTTGCATATTAATTTTGTATCTTGAAACATAATTGAATTCATTTATTAGTTCCAGCAGTTCTTTTGGTGAAGTCTTTGGGGTCTTCTATATATAGTATCATGTCATTTGCAAGTAGTGACAGTTTTAATTACTTCTTTCTTTTAATTTAGATGTCTTTTATTTCTTTTTCTTGTTAATTACTCTGGCTAGGCCTTCCAATATTATGTTGCATAAAAGCGGGGAGAGTGGGCATCCTGGTCTTGTACCTGATTTTAAAGGAAAACTTTCAACTTTTTATCATTTAGTTTGATATTAGCTATGGACTTGTTATATATGGGCTTTATTATGTGGAACTATGTTCCCTCCACACTTAGTTGAGAGTTTTTATAATAAGTGGATGTTAAATTTTGCCAAATGCTTTTTCTTTATCTATTTGAGATGATTATACGATTTTTATCTTTCATTTTGTTAATGTGGTTCATCATGTTGATTGGTCTGTGGATATTGAACCATCCTTGCATCTGTGGAATAAATCCCACTTGATCATGGTGTATGATCTTCTTAATGTGTTATTAAATTCAGTGTGCTAATATTTTATTGAGGATTTTTGCATCTATGTTTAAAAGGTATATTTGCCTGTAAGTTTTTTTCTTCCCCCCACTTCCCCCTCATCTTCTTCTCCTTCACTTTTTTTTCTTTTTCTTTCTCTTTTCTTTTTTGCTTTTCTTTTCTTTTCTTTTTTCTTTTTCTTTCTTTTTTTTGTGGTGTCCTTGTCTAGTTTGGGTATCAGGGTAATATTGTTTTTGTAAATAGGTTTGGAAGCATTCCCTCCTTTTCAGTTTTTTGGAAGAGTTTGAGCATGGTAGGTATTAAATCTTTGAATGTTTGGTAGAATTCATCAGTGATGCTATATTGCCCTGGACTTTTGTTTGTTGGGAGGTGTTGATTACTAATTCATCTTCTTACTGTAATTGGTCTATTCAGACTTTTTATTTCTTCATGATTCTGTCTTGAAATATTATTTCTGGGAATTTATCTAGTTCTTCTAGATTGTCCAATTTCTTGGCATAGAATTTTTTTGTAGTTGTATGATGATTTGTGTTTTTGTGATATCAGTTTTATCTTTACCTCTTTCTGATGTTATATTTATAAAATAAATATATTAGTGAGTGAGTCCAGCCAAAGGTTTGTCAGTTTTGTTTATCTTTTCAAAGAACCAGCTCTTAGTTTCATTCATATTTTCTATTGTCTTTTTAGTCTCTATTTCACTGATTTCCACTCTATTCTTATTATTTCCTTCCTTCTTCTAACTTTAGGTTTTATTTGTTCTTTTTTTTTCTTTTTTTTTCTTAGTGCTTGGAAAAGATGCTCGATATGATTTTAGTCTTTTTATTAAGACTTGCTTTATGGCCTAACATGTGATCTATCATGGAGAATGTTTCATGTGCACCTGAGAAGAATATGTATTCATCTCCTTTTGAATTTTTTCAATGTTTATTTATTTTTGAGAGAGAGAGAGAGAGCACGAGCAGGGGAAGGCAGAGAGAGAGGGAGACACAGGATCTGAAGCAGGTTCTGGCCTCTGAGCTGTCCACAGAGAGCCTGATGTAGGGCTCGAACTCCCTGAATTGTGAGATTATGACTGAGCCGAAGTCAGATACTTAACTGACTGAGCCACCCAGTTGCCCCTCAACTCCTTTTGGATGGAAAGTTCTATATTTATCTATTAAGTACATCTGGTATAATGTGTTGTGTAAACCTATGTTTCCTTATTGACTTTCTGTCTGGATTATTTATCCATTGATATAAGTAGGGGTGTTAAAAATCCCCTACTATTATTGTATTGCTATAAAGTTCTGCCTTTAGGCCTGTTAATATTTGTTTGTGTATTTTGGTGCTTCTGTTTGGGTGCATACATATTTATAAATGTTATATCTTCCTGCTGGGTTGATTCCCTTATGATTATGTAATGCCTTTTCTTGCATTTTATTACAGTCATTTTAAGTCTATTTTGTCTGATATTGAGTATAGCCATACCAGCTTTCTTTTCATTTCCATTTACATGTGATACATTTTTCTGTCACTTCACTTTTAATCTGTGTGTCCTTCTGAAGTGAGACTCTTACAGGAAACATATAGCTAAGTCTTTTTTTTTATTCATTCAGCCACTGTATATCTTTTGATTATAGAATTTAGTCCATTTACATGTAAAGTAATCATTGAAAATTGTGGACTTATTCCCATTTTGTTACCTTTTCTCTGGATGTTTTCACAGTTTTCTTGTTATTTTCTTTTTCTCTCTTACCTTCTGTTTTTGTTTTTGTTTTAATATTTATTTATTTTTGAGAGAGAGAGAGAGAGAGAGAACGAGCATGAGAGAGGGAGGAGCAGA